GCACAGAAGAGAGAGCGGGAGCAAGGAGTACCAAGGACACGCAGCTTCACGCTACCAGAATTCCTAGCCACAAGAACTTGAAGCAAAAATAGGAGTCTCACAAAGCTACCAGAATTTCACCTATACACAGATGATAACAGTAGTACTGTTTGGCTTTCACGTATTTTCTTTGCCATGGCTCAACTAATTTCAGTTACAGCAAAAGAGCAGGTGAAGAATATTAACTTCTGAACTCAAGGCAAGCAACCTCTCTTACACCAGCCCAGTCAGATGGCAAAGCGGAGTAACAGCCTTCAGAATCCTCAGCTACATCACAGACCAAAAGACCTTTTAACAACTTCCTTGCCAGAAGGTGTCTAGCACGGGGACCATAAAAGGAGGAACTCTTTCTGCATGAGGCTGTCTATGTGTATGTGGTCCTGCCACAACACTTCATGCCAAGCTAAGGAACCAGACCCATCTCTGGCACCTAGAAATGACTGCCATACGGTGAAACATTTTTGCCTGTTTGGTCACAATATGCATTTCTGGGTAAAAAATCAAATACAACCAGATAAATTAGAAAAATGAAGAAAACAAATGTAATAGACCTAAAGAGACTTCATCTTAAGGCTGAAGGACTAGAATTCCCATTGAGATGTTTTTCCAAAGCCAGCCCAGTGTCACAACGGTAAATTAAGAACTTGCTCTTTTCTGTGCTAGCAACAATTTTAAGAAGTGAATATAATTCCCCTCTGGCTGGTATGCTGGTGGAGATATTTGCGACTGATCCAATCTGAAGCTTCTCTAATTCTGTCATCGGTTCAGGGGATTCTTTGCCTTGGAAGGCAAAGCAGTTACAAAAAGACACAAGAAGGGCAGGAATAAACTGGGGATGATTCTGGGATTATAATTACATTTAGAAGAAGAGATAACATGAGGAAGGGGGTGAGGATAACAGGAACAACAGACACATACCACCTCTTGTGCAGGCCTCAGCAATGACTAGGACACGGCACTTAACTGCAGTGCTTCATAAAAGCCTCCCTCTCTTTCCAAAGGGATGGTGAAAATTAAAATGGCATTTTTCCTTATGCTTATTTGCTTTCTACATTCTAGCAGATGGTCTGGGCTCAAAAGCAGGCAGACAGCAACGTCAGGGGCAGCCACACCTTTACCCTGCTTGTGAACATCTTTATGCAAAGACAGATGCTGAAGACTTCAGGACAGACCTTCTGACAGCAGGTTTCTGGATGTCCTATTTGTGCATTTTGATAAACACAGGGACCCTGCAGTCTCAATCCTGGCCGCAGAGAGAGATGAATGGCAGGAGAAGATGCCTGCCTGGGTAGATGGTCATTAATCCAGACCACAAAAGAACAGAAAATTTAACCTGATGCTGACCAAACTTCAAAGCTATCCTCCCTAGAGATAAATCTAGATAGTCTTCTTCCACAGCAAATTCAGGGAGCAAGAGCTCAAATGTGGTTCTATATCATTTATAAGGTTTTTATTTTATTTATATATTTTTAAAGATCTATTATTTATTTGAGAGAGAGAGAGAGAGAGAGTGCATGCAGGGGAGGGGCAGAGGGAGAGAGAATCTCAAGCAGACTCCCCGCTGAGTGCAGAGCCTGACGCGGGGCTTGATCTCACAACCCTGAGATCATGACCTGAACCAAAATCAAGAGTCAGATGCTTAACCGACTGAGTCACCCAGGCCCCTCCATTTTTAAAGGTTTTTAAATCTCCAGAACAGGGGTGCCTGGGTGGCTCAGTCAGTTAAGCGTCTGCCTTCGGCTCAGGTCGTAATCCCAGGGTCCTGGGATCGAGCCCCGCATCTGGCTCCAGGGAGCTTGCTTCTCCCTCTCCTCTACTGCTCCCCCTGCTTGTGCTCTCTTGCTCTGTCAAATAAATAAATAAAAATCTTTAAATCGATCAATCAATTTGCAGGACAATAAAAACCAGACACTTAGTATGTTTGCTCCTGTTCTCGAATCTCAGACATGTCTGATTTTGGTCGTCTCTGTATCCTCATTAAAAAAAAAATACTGGGGCGCCTGGGTGGCTCAGTCGTTAAGCGTCTGCCTTCGGCTCAGGTCATGGTCCCAGGGTCCTGGGATCGAGCCCCGCATCGGGTGCCCTGCTCTGCGGGAGGCCTGCTTCTTCTTCTCCCACTCCCCCTGCTTGTGTTCCCTCTCTCAGTGTGTCTCTCTCTGTCAAATAAATAAAATCTTTAAAAAAAAAAAAAAAATACTACAATGGAGTAAATACCTCATTAGGGTATTATAAGGATTAAAAAATTTTTTAAATATATATATAAAGTATATTAATATATTTATATATATTACAAATGTGTTGTATGTTATAAATTAGTATACATATGAAAAATATTACTATAGCTGATATCTTTCATTCAATAAATGATGGAAAAGAACCAAAAAAGATGGGATCTGGCTACTTTATATACCTAGATGGGACAAGATAGAGAATGGGAAAATGATCCCTGGCTTAGCAAATGGGAAGAGAGCTGAAGATGTCGAAGTGGGATGGCAAAGGCAGGAGCATGGTGTACTATGAAGGCGAGGAAACCAGTAGAACAGTCTCTCTTAATGGCACCCTAAGTGTTAGGAGGATTCCAGGCCGTGTCTAACTTACCTGCTTCTCTGTACCTGAAAGAACTATAAACTATGATTGTACAAGCTTCTGACCTTCCTTCTAGTTATCAAAGCTAAGGAAAAGGATTGGGGCAGAGAAATTAAAATGGGTCGGTACATTCCCTCATTTCTCACTCACTCCCGCTTCACAGCACCTACAAATTAAGAGAAGAGGAGCAACCACAAGCAGCACTCAGTTTACAACAGGAAGGAGGAGGGCAGGGAAGAGACAGAGAAAGAATGAACAGACAGTAACTCAGCATCAGCCAGCTAGCAACTTCCTTCACTAGGAGACCTGGACTACTAATACTGAAGTGACTAATCCACAGCTGTTATTAAAAACAAGATTACAGTCTGCATCAGCCCAAAAAGAAAGGCAAACACCCTGTGAAGAACTTTCAGAGGGGCATGAGAGAAATCAGCCCATTGTTACTTACCAGGGAGCAATGGAAGACCCCTAGGGAGAAACAATGGTAAGTCAGTGCAGGAAAGGTGAGGAAGGCAGTGTAAATTCAGGTCGTGCTGAAGCCAGGGGGGAGGTGAGAGCACAGGTGGGCTGTGGGGAGCACAAGGAGGAGGCAGTCTGACACAGGAAAATCGAGGGGGAAGGAAGAGGAGAGGGAGGAGGTGGTAGCAGAAGAAAGAGAAGGTAAGATGAGAACAGAACATTTTAAACTAACCCAGAACTCCATTGTGAAGGACAAGTCACGAGGCAAGATACAGCTCAAAGGCATCAGCGCCACGTTTCACCACTGCAAAGAGATAACACAGCCTTCCAAACGTGCATGGAGGGAGGCTATGCGATCTGCACTGACTCCCAGAGCTCCCCAGGATTACTGAGGCTTTTCAGCGGTACTAAGTCCCGGCAGTCTTGGCATGTACTTGAAACTGCTTCCCCGAATAGACCCCAGTGCTGAAAAAATAATCAGAACCTGCAGGGGAACATATTTCACTCCTGGCGGATGCCTGACTGAGAGAGTGGAGACTCTCTTTCCCCTCATGGCCAGTATATGCATCCACCTTCCCCTATAGTGGACTGAAGGAAGAATGACATGGGCTAGGAGCCAGTGGGCAGCCGATGAGAGAGGACCAGCACCCCTGCTCCACGTGCCACCGCAGCTGCTTCAGGGCATCCCTGCATTTCTTTCACGTTTACATCTTCCCCAGACAAATGAACCGCCCAGTCAGTCTGCCTTCTGCTTCCAAGTACACAATTGCTAGTGTGTTTAAGAATCATAACTGGAAGGCAAATTGTTATAAAGGTTGTTTCCACCTTCTTAGTCATCACTGTCAGAGAGATTTCTCCAACGCATCTTAAAGCTCTATTGCAAGGTGACTCTTGGGGAACCATCCATTCAGCTCATGGAAGAGGAAGGTCGAAGGGGAGGCAAGAACTCTTAATATCCCAGACCTGACCAGGCTATGTCAAGATGCAGAGGGGAAATAAAGGAAAATGACTGACAGGCTGTCCTATTCCAGTACAGACGGAGAAAAAAAAAAAAAGCCTTAAACACCTCTCTCTCTCAATTGTTTTGCATGTTTGAGAATATCAAAATACAGGAAATCAAAACAAGAGCCAAATGTCCAATTTGATATAAGCCAGGGAAGCTTTGAGAATGGAAAGAAACACAACGAATGGCTAGAAAGGTCAGGAGCAGCAGGTCAGAGAGTTCAAACACAGCAGTGAGACGGAGGGTTTAATACTGTGTGTGGGGCTAACCGTGCTCCTCCAGCTCACCCCCGCCCTCCAATCAACCACTCAAAAACACCAGAAGAGCAAGGAATCACCTCTCAAGCCACCACATTAATTTGACAGGCAACTTTCAAAGGATCCTTATGGGAGAGGTGGGGGGAGGGAGAAAGTTTAGGCAATGGAGTAGGACCTCAAAGAATCCGTGTGATTTAAGGGTACTAAAAGGAACTGTCTTTAGGGAAATCTGGGCATTCTCATTATTTCTAGTCTCTATACCTACTCTGCTTAAGAGAAAAAATATCCAGCATCCTGTCTCCCTGATGTTGGGAAGACAGGCCATGAGAAGCACTTCCACAGCCACCGTTCATGCGAAAGGGAAATAGAAGCGCTGCCTATGAGCGGTACCATCTTCTCCAGCCTGGCCTAGGGCCAGTGGGCTGTCTCTCCCCACAGGCTCCGGTGAATCAGCAGCACAACTGCCAGAGGTGGGGAGGTGCGGCGGGGGCTGAGCCTTTTAACCCCCTTTCCCTCACCCCATCCTATAACTCATAATAAATAATAACTTAGGGGGTTGAAGCAAAAATGTCAACCACTGCTGCTTGGACAGCGGTCAACGGGGAAGCACACACAGCTGGGAGGACAGGGAAGAAACAAGCTAAGGAGGTACTTACTCAAAGTCCTCAAACTCCAAGTCGGTTCCCTCTACTGATGGGCCCTGGTTGTCTGAGGAAGAGGAGGTGGAAGAACGGAGACGGTTCTGCTGATAGCGCATGGAGCGCTGGCGAATACTGTCTCTCCGTGAGAGATACTGGATCATCCTCTGGGCGTAGTATGCAGCAGGAGATAATCTGAGAGAGACAGAGATGGACAAACACAAACTAGCACTAATGTGGGGAATACTGTGAAAGACAGTAAATCCAGCTCTCCCAGGGCATCTCCCTGCTGAGGTGAACTCCGGAGACATGAAAAATAAAGGGCATTTAACTCACCAGGAGGTCTGTACTGCACAATATGCTTATCAGACTACCACCAGTGTTTCTGTTCTGAGAGAAGGCAAAGAGGCTGTTGAATCAGTCATCATCTGCTCAACGGCTGCCCCTCCCAAGGGTATAACACTGGACCTTCCTTTTTAGTTTCTTAAGGGACCCCTCGTAGTTTCTTAGGGTGCTCTTCACACAGATTCACGGCCTTCTTCAATCATCCATACTCAAAATATAAGAAACGAAAAGAGACCACAATAATCATCTAGGGGCCAGGTCTTCTTTCATTTTATACAGGAGAAAGAGGTCAAGAGATGGCAAACCAGGCATGACCAAAGAAGGCGCCATCTTCACCAGGATGTCCTTCCTCTCCAACAAATCCACACAGCTCCAGATTTGTCCTAGCCCCCTAAAATGAGCTCCCTGAACCTCTCAGATCTATGGATTACTCACAGATATTTGTAACACAGAGAAAATATTTAGGATCGAAAAAGAGACTAAAAGATACTCAGGAAAACAAAACCTAACAGGGAAAAAAGATTTTTCTATTTCTTACAACAGAGCATTAGAGGCTACGTGGGCACAAAGCAATGTAGTAGGCAACAGTTATTCCTTTTTCTTCTCCTTTACCATGGCTATTCTCAGTGGATAATTAGTCTAGACCTCTATTCTTCTAACTGTGGCTTAGTGTCTTCATATTCCATGAAAACATCCAGTGTCCCATACAATTCACCAGATTCCCTTCTTTCTCAAGTTTTTCTTCCATCTTTCACAATACTGCTACATACTAAGAAAGTGAGAGAAGAACAATAATAGAAAAACGTTTTATATGATAATATTAAGTGGATTACTAAGAAATTTCCAGCCTTAAAACTTGCCTGAGGCAGACACTTTAACTCAACAATTCCACTAGGAATTTTATCATACGGGAAAACACAAGGATACACAGGTATGTATGTATCTGTATATGTTGTTAGCATTAGTGAAAAACTGGAAAACGTCCCAAATGCCCACCAACAGATTAAGTAAACTATATCTGTACAAAGAAACACTATGTAACTATTAAAAAAGAATAAGTCATCCCTATATACACACAAGAAAAGCCCTCTAAAGCAAAAATTTAAGTGGGAGAAAAATTGAAGAATGGTATGCATATACGAATATATATAAAAGCATATGTATTTCTGCAATTAGAACAAAAAATTAAAAGGAAACACAGCAATCCTAATGAGGATTCCTGGGAATCTTAACTTCTATAATATTTGAATATAAAAGGAAAAAAACATTTTTTTTAGAAATCTGGAGAAACTGATTGAGAATGGAAATAGTAATAGTTACATCAATTGATCGGAAAACTATTTACAAAATCTTGCTGCCTGACTTTTCATTACCCCTGGACAAACTTTCTGGGAAAATCCTCAGTAAATCCACTGACTCAGACCAAAGAGATTCTGCAGTCACCTGCTATAGGAACTAAGGCTACCTCTGAAATGCCAGTCATCAGAGGTGGTATCCTTCTGGCCAATCATCAAATGGAATTCCCAAGCAGGCCAAATTACAATCTTTGGAACTCAAAAGTCCTTGTAATAGAACAATATACTGTATTTGGCATCCCCGAATCCAAATTATACAGCAGGTGGGCAAGGGATGCACAGATGCCTTGGCCAAGATCATCAGAGTACAAGAATCATTTCTTAAAAGTCTCAACGTGTGGAGCTTTCATTATCCATTGGCCCCCTGTTGCCATACATTTTTCAAGGATGAATCAACAATCCTAAATTTTCAAGAGACAAAAGTCAGCACTCTTGAGTTGTTCTTTTATCTACTAAATATACAGAAATCTTCCAGAAGTCAATCATTGAAGGTTAAATTCTCAAGTCAATCAGACTAGGAAAGAATGTAAAAAACATTTCAAGAACAGAGTGAAGATTCTTTTTTTGGAACTGATTCTGAAAAGTGACCATAAGTATACTCATTCCTCAGTTGATAGCCCACCCTAACTAATGGGAAAATTGTATTATTGGTGACAGAAGTAGAAAGAATGTTGATGCAGACAATAATAAAGACTACCCTTTTATGTAAGGGCACAATTTCAGCACTAGGTAACCCCAACTGTTTAATTTCACTATAGGATAGGAATTCCCTAAGCTACAAAACTATGCATCAATGGTAAAGAAAAACGGATTCCTGGCACAACTATCAAATACAAGTACATCCTGGCCTCATCTTTTTTAGGTATCCAGAGGGAAGCTAAGGATCTGAATGCTGAAATGCCCCATAAAGGCTTTGACCTATATGTGTTGTGTATGGTGAAGTCTAAGAGGAAAAAGAAATTAAACAACCAGTATGAGGTAGCAATCATCCTCCTACTGAAGAGCTGGATAATCACCAAACTCTAGTGTCCCAAGTAAAAATTTTAAATGTTTAAATAAATCCGCAAGTTTTCTTCAAGGAAGAATACTTCCTCCTCCAAAGAAAACCTATTCTGTGTTTAGAGAGAAAATGTAAAAATAGCAACACCACAAAGTATGACACTTTCTGTGATAAAGAGATCTGAGTGGGAGTAAATAAAAGATTCATTACATGAAAGGAGGACAAACAATGGTCTTTAAGGATCACTGTTAAACTCTGTCAGGCTAAAAATTCTGGGGATGGGATTCCTATTGCTGTCCTAAAAGAAACTCTTTTATAGCAAGAAATTCTCTTCTCAGTGTTTCAGAGTAATCTGATTGACACATAAAATCTCCCTCTCTTATTTAGGACTTACTACTTTCAAGTGTGATCAGAGACTAACATAAACTTCCTTGGTTTGGTCATCATCATCTCAGCTGCCTCCAAATGTTCCCCGATCCTTGGATTTGCCATTTCGGGGGTATGGAAAAGGAAGTAAGAGGGTAATGGGGAATCCTTTCATTAGTCTCTCAGAAAGAATGCTCAGTATCATGACATAACTGTGGCAACAGTGAAATCACTCAATATCTCTAGAATCAACTTGGTCTATGGGTCTTTCCAGACTTGAAATTCTTAATCTAAAGCAAAGCTCATTTAGCTTCATCTAACCTATATTTGTTAACTTGCCAACCCCACCATTACAAATTGCTCTTTCTTTTGGCAAAGCCTCACATATGCTCTGGTATTGCTTACATAATGTAAAGGTTATCCCCTATTTAGGTCATTAACAGAATCAGTAAATCTGGTTGTGACAACGCCAAAGGGCTGGTCACTATAAATAAATGTTATACATCAACTCAACACCCATCCTTGGTCCTCAGTCACCAGTATTACTTAGGGGTGGGCCTTGAACTTGTCTAAGTGCTTTTTTAATCTCTTTGAGAACTCTTCAAATATCTTCTGATCAGTGTAAGGTAAACACTTTAATAAAATGCCAACTTGTTTTATTTAGTTACCCTTTTGTAAGTCATCTCTTCCTTTAGGTTGCATCCAAAAATTGAACATCTGAATGAGTTTGACTTCTACCTTTTGATAGCCTAAATTCTCTCTCAAATGAGAGCAAGTAGGATTATTTGTTAGTTGGTTAGTTTTAATTTGTAAGTAATTTCCCTATTAATAACAACTTGTTCCCCCTTTGGCTTTCCATCTGAATGGCAATAGCCTCCCTGATCAGCAAAAAAAGAGTATCCTGTGACTCTGCCAGTGGCCTCCTCAGGTTCCTCTTCTAAGTGCCCCACTTACAGAAATGAGCCCCAAACACAAGAGCTCAGTCACAACCCTCTGCCACCAGAGGTTCTGTTCACTTACCTGCAACACTTCCCAATCACCTGAACCACCTGTCTCAAAACTGTTAACTGAAGAGTAAAAGAGCACCAGGACCAGAGAGGCACAGAATGGGGCTTCCAACAGCTTGGCAACCCCAAGGGCAGCCCCTCCCCCCCACCTAGTGCCATTTCTCACTTTGGCCTTACCTCGCTGGGTCTGGGTAAATTGGGTGCTCTCTGGATCCTGCTCCATCATAACGGGATAATGAAATGAGGGAAGACTCCAGCAGCCTCCTAGCAGAGATTAAAAAAATGGCAATAATCCCTGTCAATTACCAACTCAGAGGTCATTCATAAGGGAAAAATAGGGGGAGAGATAAATAACATCCCCCTTTGTAGCTAGCTAGCACCTGCTATCTGGGATCACACCCTTCCTACAAACTAAATACTTAGAGACATAAATAAATGAGCTACAAAGCTCCCACACTGGACAGGGCCACTGTATTATGCTGAATACTGCTCTTCTGTGAGAAATGAACAAGTGCTTCAGAGACATGATCTTATTTCTATTTGCAGTATCTCCAGCAGACAAATAGGAGGTTGGGATCAACACAGGAGGGGAAAATTAGGCATATCCAGAGATATTCAGGTAGTGCCAACATTCATCTTGGTGTTCAGTTTTCTCCATGTTTCCTAATCCACATCCCCTTATCTTCTACTCATTCTGCTCTGCCCATACCCTTTTTGTGAGGAGTACTCCTCACGCTCTCTTAACTGACAAAAATCTTTAATTATATAATCTAGCCCAATCATAAGTTCAAATGATCGTATGTCAATACACCCACATTTTATTGAGCACTTCTTTGGTGCCAGGCAAATACTAAGCACTTCATATATATTTCCTTACTTAAAACTCACCACAACCTAGCAAGGTGGGCATTACTATACAAACATGAGAACACTGGGCCTAAAAGTTAAGTATATGGCACTGTGCACAGGGCTATTTAGTGAGAGCACCAGGACTCCAGAGAAAGTCAACTCCAAAATGCTTCAAACCACAATGCCCTACTGTAGGACCTTCCAGGCTCCCTGCAGGTAAAAAGTGAGTATGTTTCAACTGTGAGTCCAACCTAGAATGTGGGCTCAGTATTGCTGGCTCTTCCTGTTTTTTAAGGGAAGCCAGAAATCTGGACTTTTCCATGAAATCTCCTGACTGTTAGATTTTAGCTAAAACATTTTTTCCCTCTTTGTACAAGGGCCAATTAAAACACATCTGATAAACATGGCCCAGGGACCCCCCAGTTTGCCGAGTCTGCCACACTGCTTCCCAACTCAAATGTGCCTTGGCAGCCCGTCAAGCTCCTGCCATAGAACACGTTTCAAAGGAAATGGTCTCAAGAAAGAAATGCATATTGTTCCTCTCCAGCAGCATCTTGCCTGGCTCTCCCGGGAACAGGTCTCCGGCTCCCTGCCAGACTCTTTAAAGCAGATCTGCAAGATAAGGACAGCAGCTACCAATCTTTTCCAATTGAGTTAATTCAATTCACTGTTATTAAAACCAGCTGGCTTTAGGTAGAGTCATGTGCAGTCACTTTATCCCAGCAACTGGCTCACCAAAGCATCTCCCATAACAGCCTGGGGAAGAGCTACAGCAAAAGCCCTGTCAATCTGGCTTGCTACCTTTCCTGCCCAGGACAACCAACTGTTAAATGATGCTTTCTATCTAAACCAGGCCTAATACCTCCCCCACACAATTCACTTTAAGCAGTCCTACCACTGAAGGAAGAGAATATTACAATGCAACCAATGAGGAAGAGAAGAAAGCAATAAAATACATCTCTGGGGCCTGGGATCTTCAATGATATCACTGTTGACAGCAGCAGTAACGCTGCTTCTCATCAATTCCAAGAGATACCCTCCCATTTTAACAGGTCTGAAACTGGGATGCATCTTATAATTGTGTGACAGTTTATTTTTTTTAAAAGATTGTATTTATTTGAGAGCGAGAGCATGAGCGGGATTGAGGGGGCAGTGGGAGAGGGAGAAGCAGACTCCCCACTGAGTACTGAGCCTAACACAGGGCTGAATCCCAGGACCCTGAGATCATGACCTGAGCCCAAGGCAGACGCTTAACCACTGAGCCACCCAGGCATCCCTGACATAATTTAATTGGCAGGATTTTTTTTTTTTCTTTCATTAGGGGCACATAAAATAATGGCATGTCTTTGAGTCTTGAACTACAGAATGTTTGTGAGAGGAAGGGGTAGGGAGAGGTACCTAGACTGGAAAAAGAAGAAAAGTGAAATTGAGAAGAATATCTATTCAGGACATTTATACCATCTTAGATAAATACTTGTCCAATACTAATCAATTAGTTCTATAGGAATTGGGAAGGAGTTGAACGGAAGCAAGATCTGGGAGCAGCTGACATCCCTGAACACCGAGAAGTTTGTTCCATCCCAAAGGGCTCTGGAGTTAGTCCTGAGTATAACTGAGCCCCGTAAGGTTCTCCTCCAAATGGCTTAGTAAGCAGAAGCCCTTTGGCAAGGAGCATCCTGCAGAGCGACCAACATATACCTTTTTTAAGTACTTCTTTGCCTGGAAAATGACGCTGCTAAGTTAGGAAGCCAGTATTACGCCCTATTACTATGCTAAGGCAGTGTCAGTATTCAGAAAGATGAGATGACTTGTTAAGGATCATGTAAAGGAGATTCTTGAACTAGAAGAGTCTGGATTAGATAATTTCAATTTAAATGATTCCATTTTATAATCCTGCAACGTCTACTTCCCACCCTAACCTCCTATCTTCATTAGAAAGACTTTTTTTTTTTTAAGATTTTATTTATTTATTTCAGAGAGAGAGAATGAGAGAGAGCACATGAGAGGGGGGAGGGCCAGAGGGAGAAGCAGACTCCCTGCCGAGCAGGGAGCCCGATGCGGGACTTGATCCAGGGACTCCAGGATCATGACCTGAGCCGAAGGCAGTCGCTTAACCAAGTGAGCCACCCAGGCGCCCAGAAAGACTTCTTTAATCAGGGTAAAACCAAAATGTTAAGCTTTGTCTCTGGGGAGTCCCTGATGAGGTTCTTTTGGAACATGCATCCCTTGTGCCTACTTACTACAAAATCTGCTGGCACCATTTATGCTCGCCAGGCAATACAGTGGACTGGCAAAGCCATATATAAGCCATATATATATATGGCGTTTTAACTGCTAATACACAAAATCAGGAGAGCCAATTACTATGAATAACACCCCACACACTTATCACTGATTAAACACTGAATTCTCTTCAGTTACAAGTACTGTCTGAAAGAATAAAAAGGGCTTCTCCAATTGGTGTTGAACACAGAAAGAACTAGAGCTACCAGATGATTAAATGTCACCACCACTCCTAGGAACCCCAAAGAAAGATCCTTCTCTCCTACAGTCAGCTTCCTGCAAACAGCCATCACTGGAGAAATGACGTAAGAAAATGGGACGAGATGGCAGCTGTGCACCTTCTTCTCTGGCCACTACAAATGTGACCTGACTTAACCATCTCTCATGCAACTCAATAATGCAAAATCAGGTAAGAATCAGGAGGGGGTTCAGACACACTTGTTCAAGCTTGAAGCTGCCATTTCATTCTGACCTGTAATCACAATTTAGAAATGTTTTTAAAGAGTCACTGAAACCCTTGACAGGAAAAAAACACACACACAAAAACCCCTCTTTCTTCGCAAGTTTGCCTGGTTCACTCTCTGTACCAGTGGTGTCCAAGTGAGATACACAGGAGTTGTGCTATTTTGATCCACTGGAGAACAGAAGAAAATATCAGAACTTCTTATTTATAATGTATAACCATAATATATAATACACACACACATTGCTCAAAAGCCTTTTACTAATATAAGTATTTTTTTTAAATCTGAAGACCACTGCTCTATCAAACTATATCCTACTTTTAAGAAAATCCAACATTCAAAAGAATATAAGCACAAATATATAAATATAAAAACCATACAATTAAAAGAATAAGCACAAAACATAAACATAAAAACCATAAATATGTAAAAGCATAACCATACTCATACATAAAGCAAAAGAGAGAGAATGATAAAGCAAATGTGGTAAAATGCTAAGATTTAGGGAATGTGGGTGAAGGGTATATGGGAATTCTTTGCACTATTTTTGCAACTTTTCTGCCAGTCTGAAATTATTTCAAAATTAAAAACAGTCAAAAAAATTAAAAACATTCAATATACAAAACTGAAAAGTAAACCACTGAAAACTAAAAAGAAAACTCTTCATTCTCAAAAGAATTACTCACTTTTTTTTTTTTTTAAGATTTTATTTATTTATTTGACAGAGAGAGACACAGAGGGAACACAAGCAGGGGGAGTAGGAGAGGGAGAAGCAGGCTCCCCACTGAGCAGGGAGCCCAATGTGGGACTCGATCCCAGGTCCCTGGGATCATGACCCGAGCCGAAGGCAGACGCTTAACCATCTGAGCCACCCAGGCGCCCAAGAATTACTCACTTCTTAAAAAGGATTTCTTAAAATAGCAAGTTGCCCTAATGCCCTAAGGTAGGTATGGTAAACTACTAGCCCCAAGTCAGCTGCCTGTTTTTTGTTTTTTGGTTTTTTTAAAGATTTTATTTATCGGGGCGCCTGGGTGGCTCGGTCGTTAAGCGTCTGCCTTCGGCTCAGGTCATGATCCCAGGGTCCTGGGATCGAGCCCCACATCGGGCTCCCTGCTCGGCGGGAAGCCTGCTTCTCCCTCTCCCACTCCCCCTGCTTGTGTTCCCTCTCTCGCTGTGTCTCTCTCTGTCAAATAAATAAATAAAATCTTAAAAAAAAAAGATTTTATTTATTTATTTGACAGAGACAGAGAGAGTACAGATAGTCAGAGTCGCAGGCAGAGGGAGAAGCAAGCTCTCTGCTGAGCAGGGAGCCCGATGCGGGGCTCGATCCCAGGGCCCCGGGATCATGACCTGAGCTGAAGGCAGACGCTTAACCGACTGAGCCACTCAGGCACCCCAGCTGCCTGTTTTTATAAATAAAGTTTTATTCAAACATGGCCACATTCACTCATTTATATATTGTCTATGGCTGTTTTGGAGCTAGCAAGGCAGAGTTAATCCTGACAGGAACAGGCTTAGAATACTGACTACCTGGTCCTTTACAGAAAAAATCTGCCCACCCCTTGCTCTAAAATATTTGCTTACATAAAATCCTTTGAAAGATAAAGTGAAGTCACTAAGAAATGGAACAGAAAAACATGAAATCAAAGTATTACATACTAGAGTAAG